CCCCCCATGGCCGCGCAACAATAAATCGCTAGACCACGTCGACGCCCATTGTCCTATATTTCTTCTAAAAAGTGTGGGTTTCCTTAAGGTCTTTAGGAGTTGCGCAGGCCATTCCCACGTCCTACTCAGGGAGAGGACCTTTCTGGACTTCCGAGTCACTCCATCTCTGAGACTACAACGTCTATGCAATGGTGAAATCGTTCAATAGGGGGGAGGGGGTCCCCGAGTTTGAAAACTAGTGTTAATACATTTGTTTTAAAGGTTCCTTGTGGAAATATTAATACTATTTGATAAACTTTTGGTAAAGTTACATATGTATCCGTTTCATTTAGTTTTTAATCGCAAATTTTGACCTTCTGTTTTTCTATACGTATTTATCTTTTTACTAATTTGATCGATTTTTCATCTATATATTATTTATCGATTTTAGAGGGATCCGTCGTTTAACAGATCTTGGTCGGGACCGGCCACTACCTTGCGGTATAGTAAAGGTTTGGTGTGGTTCTTAATAAAAAAAGATTCGATATTAAACCATCGAGTTTACAGAAAAAAAGAAGAGAAAAGAGGAAGCGAAACAACAAATAATGAATAGTTACAATACCAAAAAGGAAGAAACAAAATCAAAGGACAATAAAAAAATGTATATAAAACGAGAGGTGATGTCAAAAATCACGAGACTGACATAGGCTAAAACGAACGATATACAAATAATTAGTATTCAAAAATGGAATAATAAAATGAAAAAAGAGTATTGTGCAACGCCGTTAGCAAAAGGACTATCACAGGCAACCCACATAAATATACGAGTCGGGGATGTAAAGGCTATAAAAAAAAATAAGAACAGTAATCAAAACTGCAGATTGAAGCACTATAACAGTCCGGAAGACCAAAATAGGAAAAAAAAAAAAAAAAAAAAAGAAAAGGCAAAAAAAAATCTCTAGACCATCGCCTCCTTTCTTCTCCCTGTGAAAACTAAGGGACTGTGTCGGCCCCTGTGTATTAAGATATTGTTTTTGTATGTTTTCCCGTAAACATACTATCCAAGGGAAATTCTATACAGCCTTAGGTATCTCATGTGTCCTGTGTAGACATACCTTATACTCAAAAATTGACTACAAGCAAAGACAGCTGGGTCCCTGACCGTCACTTCACCACTGACCGCATTCTTGCACCTCCGGTACAGGGACCGTACCTCCCGGCGGTTACTTTTCAAGCTGTGTCGGACCTCCCCGTGTCCTGGTGGGGAACACCCTTTATACTTGACCGAGTTTATCTTTCTGTTCTTTCATGGAACTTGTTCTTTATACACTTATCAATAGTTTCGCGCTTCTTCGTGTTTCGGTGGAGATTTGACATGGTAAAAGACCACGTTGCTGAGTTTTACCCTCTGTAGGTAACTCAACAAAAAATTAATGGTTTCATGTAATAAACTAAAGTATACTGTTAGGAATCTGTTTTTCACTTACTTATTATCAAGCAGAGTTAGAGGTATAAGCAAGACTGAATAGTGCAAGTAAAGTGACCGTGGCAGCCAAATACGCCTCCGTGCATTTCTGTACTTTCGTCAAGTGAGTACTACCTAATTTTTTCCCTCTTCTATTTAAATCTCCCCCTACGTTGTCCACAATTGGTCACCGCCGACCACTTTTTAAAAACACCACGATTACCTTTACCACTGTTTTGGATATTGAATCACGTAAATTTTGTCCTCTGATTTAATGGCTCGTAACAAACACACAACACACCACACACACAAAACACCCACACAAACACACACCCACACAGGCTTGACGGTTTCGGTGGGGCTAAAGAGCGCCCTTGTGGGGCGTAAAGAGGGTTAAACGACTGTTTTAGTTCTAAATGAGCCGTTGCTGGACTCAAGGTCGAGACTGAAATTCTGTCCAGATCTCTGCCAAAAACTGGCCCTGATAGCATTTAGCTGAGTATCTTGGTAGAATTCTGAGCAGGCATAAGCTCCCCCCCTCTTTTTTTTTTTTTTTAAAGCTAAGGACCCAGAATCAGCCCTTCCCTAAGAGGGATATGAGGGATATCTAAAATGCATGATCTGTTTGGTATTTTAAGCATCATACACATGTTTTTTATATGTTGTTATATATCTGAGACCTATAAGCCTACAAATAGCATGATAGGAGATCTTTAAGCAGTACCTTGTCCTGTTTGACGTCCTCCTTCTTCACAGACTTGAGGTTGGCTCTGAGGTCCATGGAGCCCTTGTGTTTGGAGCCCAGAAGAGCCCTCATCATCTCATCTGCAGACACCCTCACCTTCCTCAGGGCGGGCTTTTTGAACTTGCCTCCGAGATCCTGTATTTTCAGCTTCAGCTCATGGATCTGATCAATATGACAGAAAATGTATGAACATCTAATAAACGGATACAAAATGTGACTCAGCATTGAATAAGGTGTTCAGAGACTCACATCTTTGTTGTGTTTGCCCACTTTGAATTCGCAGTCGTATCTCTCTTCGTCTACAACGTCAACTTTTGAATAAAGCTCCTTGCATAAATTCTGAGGGAAAAGGAGGGTGTCAAACATATTACTGAAACATTCTCCTTTGATTTCTGCTGTTGAAGTACATTTGCTGTTTTTGGTGTAGGACCCTTACTTGTAGTTCGTCCAGTGGTATTCCAGACAGCTGCAGAGGGGGCAACTTTTCTCCTAGATAGCGTGCCTTCTCCTCCTCCCTATCCTGCCTCTCCTTCTCCAAATCCTCACAGGCTCTTGTGAGGAGAAGCATCTGATTGGACAAAACAGATATCAATCAAAACTTGGCGAGTTGCTAGTGAGTTTACATCATTATTTGGTGTGTTTAAGTTGTACATAAGAACAGAAAGTACCCAAATGTCCTAATTTTCCATAATTTTCCTTATCTTAAAAGAAGTCATTTAAAATCAGGGGTAATTCCACAGTTGCCCCACATGGTAAAACCAACAAAAAAGTTATATCATTCATGTTTGCCAACATGTATATTTCCTTACTTAGCCTACCTACGTGTTTGTGAAGTTAATTTAATTTATTTATGTTATTTAAGTGACTTGTAATGTACTTCATTTCTGTATGTCTTGTGGATGTTTGTGTACTGTCTTGTATATTGTATATATATGCTAAATCAATAAAGAAAGTTTAAAAACAAAAAAAAAAAAAATGATATCATAACCCACCTTGAGGGAAAGCTTGCGAGAAGCCGAAATCTTCGACTTCGGCTGTGAAAAAAAAGAATCTTATTATTATTTCACAATACAACACATTATTATATTTTATAGTCAAGTTTTTTCCAAAGAAGATGGACAAAATTCTAAGTACCCCAACTTTGCCATATACTGGACAGTCCAGAATAGGCCTATGTATGGAAAGCCCCCAAACTCGCCCCCCTCCCCTGCTGCAGACGCATGTGAGAAGATAATGCTTTATTATTAGGATGGAGTCAAGGGGAAAGCTCTCAGTTGGTGCTGATAACAACTCCTGCCAGATAACCACTGCCAGATCTCTGCCTTGTGAACCAGGACAATGTGTCCCCTCTCCCTGCATGATGGATTAACACTGTGGAATATAGATGGTTTACCTTTTCCCCCCCTTTGGGATTCATCGCTGCGGGTCTGTCGGGCTCCTGAAACTCAGAAATTGTGCAAATGAGGGCGATCATTCTATAGGAAATGACATTTACTGTATAAGAGAGCTGAAAAAATATATTTAAATTGTGAATAGAAACAGTCAACAACACAAATATCAACAGTAGCATTCAGGGATAGAAGAATCATTTTCTTACCTCACTTGAACTGTAATCCCAGAAACAAACAACATGAGACAAACAGAAGTGTTTATTAGTACAGTCTAGGAGTAATGGCTTGGCCCAGTGAACCAAGATGTAATTTGACACATTAAGCCGCCACAGCAAACACTCCTCAACATCCCTTGACAACAGGATCAAAGCAAGGACAACAGCAGTTCCCTTCACTATATTCCGCATCATCTCAGTTTGGCTTTTTAGCAGTGCCTTTATATATTCTGACAAAACAGACAAAACCTTAACAGCAGTAGCCTCAAGGAGAAGATTTGGCATATATTATTTAGTAATCTCATCATATTTTTACAAAGATCTAGTCATTATATTTCCATGAAGATACATATGCCATATAAAAGATTTGCCACTGTTAAACTGTGAAATATACTGTTTTTAATAACAGCTATACTGGAAATACTCAGACATTCAACCAGAACAAACGAATAACAAACAAATACAATAAAATAGTAGATATAAAACTAAATAAAAGGTCAGAACTGTTCTGGAAGTTTTAAATACTTAACATGTAATAATAAATAAATGGTTGCTTTACCTGTACAAATGGTAGAGAGTCAAACAGCGGCTGCTGGAGACAATGGGCAGCTTTTATGTGAGCGCTGTGGCTCATGGACAGCAGATATAACGTCTGGCCCCAAGAATGTGCTGGCCCCGGACCGAGCATGGAATATCCCGCCCCCCCCCCCCCGGCCCTGCCACTGTGACAACACCCGGAGAGGGATATAAAACATGGGTATTACCTTAATGGCATTGTTCACATTTTGCTAACTGTGGCTGTGAAATAACAGTAGCAAAAATAAATAAATAAATGTCTACAATATTGACAGAATACATTGTTCAAGTATAACTTCAAGGAAAACATTTAGATATATTTCCTATCTGACTAAGGAAACCAAATCTGCCACCAACACTTTTTGAAAGCAGAACTACTGTAAAGAACACGTGAAAACGAAAACCGAGGAGCAAACTCATAGTTTTATGGAAGCTTATGTGTCCGAACCGTTTACATTACTTGTTAGTACCAATTCAACAATTGACATAAAACATGTTTATAAGTGAGCTTTAGAGATGCTGGTATTTGATTGTGTTACCTTTGAAATGATTTGTTTCCCCTTGTTTCCAGTTCTTAAGGCTAATGCTAAGCTAAACAAATACTCTCTATAAATTCATATTAAGCGTAAAAAACTATCTAATAAACAAGATAACTAATTAACTATGAAATGTACTATAAACTTAACATGTCATTACAAAAATTACATTTAAGGGTTAAGGTAAAAAGAGTGAGGAACCAAAACAGGGCCAAGGGTTTAAATGATAGCTTAATCCTAAAGCATTTGATGGGAAGAAGAATACGCACCCAAAGAGTTGAGTCATAATATAAGAATATTTAAAGCTCCCTTTGCCATCAAAAGCTGTTTTCAACTTTTCAAAATCAAGCCATTTTCTGACTGTTTCTGACTACTTATAGACAAACATGTCATCCGGTATAAAGGTTAATAACATGCTTGCCGTAACAAAGTGTGTGTGTATGGCAGCCATGCAGAGACTGTTAGCTCTTGTCATTACCTAGTAGTAGTTATTCAAGGGGCAAGTGCAGAGTGATCAAGGTTGAATAACATAAATTAGTACTGTGACATTTAATCTTCTCTAACCACAGTTATTATGATAAAAATGACTGGTTGGAGTAATTATATATTGGCCTAAAATAAGAAGAGGTTTTTTCACGTTGGCTCTGTTTCATTGGAAGAGATAAAGAAGTTAGTGGAACTGCAGGTTGTGAATAACTAGTGAAAATGTTTAATATATTGTATACACAGTCTCATTAGGAAAAGAAAAGTCAAAACACAGATCTGTATATTATTACTGATAACGGTATGAAATTAAATATGTCTTTTGTGAAATAAGCAGCAGGCCAAGCTATTCATCAAGATTGTAAAGTACAGATTTCAAAATGTAGAGATTCTTCCTTTGAACTGGGGGACAACATTCATTGTGCGAAAAAAACTACACACACATCTGTCAAAATCATGGAAACAGACCCAGCACAAAATGAACAATGCGAAAAGGTTGAACTTACCTTAGCTGCACTAAGTATTAAAGGTGGGGTAGGTAATTTTGGAGAAACCAGCTCGAGTGCGCTAGAATTTGAAAATACACTGCCATTCCATGGAATATAGCAAAAAGTGTTTCTGAAATAAATTACATACCCCACATTTAAGTGCAAATTGCACTATGTTAGCAATAGCACGTCCACATGCTAAACTCAGACAATAAACATAGTTATACCTGCTAAACATTGACATGATTGCAATGCATTGTGAGTGAGCATGATAGCATGTTCTCTACTGTATGTGGTACAGATACAGTGCATTATAAAGGAAAACATGTTCATTTAAAGGCCTGTGTTGTCTCTGAGCCTCACTTCACTTGACTTTGACTCTTGACCTGCTGCATGTGTCTTATTGTAGTAACTGCTGTCAATAATGACTTGGCCTGACTTTATCGAGATGTCAGAGCTGGAGAGCTAATCTCAGCCTGAGCTGCAGCACTTCATGCAAATCACCCCCCAGCATCAAGTTTCTCTTCTTTCCACTGGCTTATCCTGGAATAAAGCTGATGCAAGTGCTAAGTTGTTTTTGGTAAACAGAGCATTAGCTACAAGGACATCCTCAGAGGAGCAACATTAAACAGGGAGGAGTTTACGTTGAGCCTTTGGCTCTATGTGAGCTGTGACGGCTTCTCAGTGATTAGAAACCAGATGAAGATGAACGAGACGATTTTCTTCAACAGGAATATCTCGTTCAAAGGTTTGGTCATTTCTTTCTGATTCTATAATGTATCCATGATTTGTTTCCTTGAATATTAAATCAGAAGTTGTACATGTACATTTCATAAAGTTTATTTGTGTCCGTCAACAAAATATGTGACATCTTACATAAAAAGGTTATTTTTATATCATTTTACACATAGAGCCATTTGACCATGTAACATAAAGCAACAGTTTAAATGTTCTATTTATGAACACAAAACTTTTTGGACGCTACATTAAAAAGTGATGTCATAGTCTCTATGGAAACAATCTCATTATGTGCTATGCTGTATGTAATTATTAATTAATTGGTGCGATCCAAGCCATTGAAACATTTTTGTTTCCATAGTTTTCCAAGCTAACAAAATATCTTTTGATGTAATCACAGTCCCTTATTAAGCATTTTAGTGTCAAACAGTGTCTGTAGGCTCCTGCCACTAATGCCACTGGGGGCAGGAGCTGAAGAGACAACGCTTATGTGAGCACTGAGAGGCAATAAAAAGAGGAAGACACAGGGGACAACAAATGTTCTGTCATCATTTTATTTTTTCGCTGATCCTCAGCAGGTGGGAGCACTATTTCTGCTGTAACCCAACTCCCCTCCATCTCCACCACACAGACACATACACACAATGACAAAATAACAGGGAGGCCTTGGTATCCGCTTGAAATGCACTTTCTACTCTCACTGCTTTTTATAGGTGACGGCTCAATGTGTCACCCCATAGTTCTCCTTATTTGGTGGTCAATATGAACAATTTGAACCTGTGGGAATAAAAGAAGGAAAAGTGAACATCCGCTAAAGCCACATTAATCCCTGAGGCGCAGGCCGTTGATGTGTGATCTTCAAGTCTCTCAGTCCGTCCTCACCTGCTGTCGGAGTGATATTTGTTTTGTCAGTTGTCGCTCTATAATCCATCTGAACCCATTGTCATGACCCAGCCAGCTCAGCAATGACGTTTCTAGACTTTGAGTATCATTAGAAACTGTTTTATAACATGACCCTAACAATGTTTGATCAAGAGACACAATGGCTACTATGAACACAATGTTTTAGGCACACATTTACATAGACTACCAAAGTGCGACTTTGAGGTACTTTACTATTAATGCTACTTCATACTTATACTTCACTTTGATTCAGCTGCACATTTTGTTGTTTTACTTATTTAACAGATGTAATTACATTCATCATACTGTATACGATCCTGAGTATTTTTGTCTTAGCATACTGTACATATTCTTTGGTATATCTATATTTAATGTAAATCATTTTCTATATCTTAATGTTATAAAATTTTTACGTTTTTTTATAACTGTTTTATGTGTTTGTTTTTTCTTACAATGTATCTTCTTTAACTGTGTTTACTGTATGTATGCACCATATACACCAAATTCCTCGTATGTGTTAACATACTTGGCAATTAACCTGTTTCTTTCTGATTTATATATATTTTTACAGAAGACTACAAAACTGCATGAACAGTGGTTAGAATTAGCTCATTCTTGACTACTACAGTAAATGCTATATGAATCTGTAAAACATTTTCAAATATATAGTTCCCACAGGGGCCAATACTTTCCACATCAAATTGAAATACATTCAGCTAATAATACTTTTAATTAACTGATTATTTTATCGCTAAATGTAGGCTACTTTAATAAAGGATCTGAATACCTTTAATAATATGTACTATTCTTAACATCTAACAAAGCATGTTGTTCATATACAGTAGACTGCATCTACAGACACCTTTCAAGCCTCTGCACCCCTCGCATGTTCCCTCCGGAACATGAACAGAGCTCCACAGTGGCTCAGTGTTTGGACACGGTGAGCAGGGAGCAGCTGACACATGACTCCAGCCCAGTGGACTGCCATTACATCCCCCTGCCCGCCGCTCTGACATTGAGGTCGCCCTCAGAGATCCCAGCGGGGGGCAGAGGGTGTCCTGAGTGGCCAACATTTCTCAAATAATCGCTCTTTCATCAGCTTGTACCGGGCTAAAGGGCACGAGGGCAGCGAGATAACTTTAGTATGGTTATTGTTTGTATGTGTTTATGTGGATGTAGACATTTCAATTAAGATGTCTTTGTATACTCTATAACTATTCAGTTGTTTTTTACAGCTATATTTTCTTTTTATTCATGTGTTTTTATATGTTTTTTGTGAGTAGCACAAGCAAAAGTGTCTTTTGTGACATGTCTGTTTATTTTGTGGTTGCCTATTTTGGAATATGTCTTTGTGTAAGTGAAAGGCTTTTTAACATATCATGTTTTTCAAAATAATTGTATTTTTTTTTTTACGTGCAAACAAAATAAAAATGCAGCAATTCCTCAATCCAATATATTGTGTTTTTCTCCTTCAACCTTAAACCCTAAAAGCATCTGCATTAGCACATAGCGGGCTGGCCGAGGACAAGTCTATTTCAAATCAATAAAGCTATACACAGAATCGAATGCACACAAATAGCCTTGTGACACATCAACATTCATATCTAAATGTGTCCCTAACCTCACCCTAAATTTACACTGAAATTGAACTCTGAGCATTAGTGCTCAGAATTATAAGTCAAAGACTCCTGTGGTAACTTTAAAGAAATAACATATAATATAAAGACATTTGCCATCATAAACACAACACTAAAGTTAAACACTTCTTCTTACACACAAAGACACATGCACAGAGCCACGGCTGTTAAAGTGCTCACATGTAATACTGACTTTGTCCACACGACAGCAGCACTTTACACAGCAATACTCTGCTGGTGTGCAGACAAATCTGAATAGAATAGAAAATGATGTAATATTT